ACTCATGGCAGCCCAGCTCCAGGTTGAGCTGTTGTTCAGCATCTTAGCTGTAGAGGGCAGTGTCACTGGCCCTCATATATGGGATCCGAACCAGGGTCCTCTGGCGTCCCAAGCCAGCTCTTAACCAACGCGCCACTCGGCCGGCCCTTTATATACTGTTTTAAAGAGAAGAAAAAGGATGTGATTAAAGATAATTTGAACTGTGCTTTTCTGTTGTTGTTTTTATATTCTTTATTTCAATATTTTCTGTGATAAGCAAATACCACTGAAATCAGAAAAAAAATCAAGTACACAAAGATGCCAATTACTGATACATCTCTCCTTTTAAATCCTTTGAAACAAAGATCCACCATCTAGAATGGCTCCCAAGGCCAATGGTGCTTTGTTCCAGCTGGAAATTTACATGGATATGACATTCCTAAGTCCAATGTCAGCCTTCTTATTGATGCTTTAAAAAAACAAGAGCTCAAAGATAGGCATATGCATGTTCACCCAGAAGACACATATCACTATATTTCCCTAGTCACACTTTCTGAATCAAACCTTAGTAAATATGAAGTTCCACCATTTCCTTGGATTAACTATGCTCACTTACCTTGTCTCACTTTAAAGGTAGTTCCTGGAATTGCCAAGTGCCAGAGAATACACCAAACTTTGTCTTTGTAAACCTTTCTGAATAAAGAGAAAACAGAACACAGTGATTAGTCAAGGAACTTGAAGTCAGACTGAACCTTGAGTTTTCCCATTCACTGACTATATGGACTCAAGCAATTTATTTACCACCTTGTGCTTTCTTTCCCTTATCAGTAAGGTGGGGATACTATAATACACACCTCATAGGTTTGATAGGAGCATTAACTAAGATAAACCTGTAAAGAGTTTAGGAGAGTGCTAAGTGTCCTCATTATCACTAACCCTGCCTAGAAAAATGCTAAACAAGGAGCAATGGAAACCTGTTAGAAGCGACTTGGATATTTTCTGGAGTAAATACACCCAGTGTGGCCATGAGAGATGGAGCTGGAGAAAGAGGAATAGGTTAAGGGAGCCTGAAGCTGCCTACAGTCTGCCTACTTGGAATATGACGATGGGTTTTACAGTCAGACCCCCTGGATTCAACTCCTGGGTTTACCATTTACCAGCTATTTGCACATAAGCAGTTATTACCTTTCTGTACCTTTTGTTAACAGCAAAATGCCAACAAAAATCGTGCACATTTCATATGGTGGCTGCATTAATTAAATGGATTGTAAGCATTCAGCAAGTGTTAGCTACTGTGTGTCTCTTGCACTCTAAAAGCAAAATTGCTTCAGAGGCTGTCAGTTTCCGACCCCTATCCTTTGCCCTTTCCACATCAGCACAGTATGACTGACTTCTGACTGCCAGCTCCTGCATTTTTCTTCTTGAAAGTGTTTTCTGGATTCTAAGGCACTTTGCCTGCCCTATGGTAGACCAAAAGTGCCTGGGAATTAATAACCCCCATCAGCTTTCTGCCAATGACCAACAAGAGTGGGTTAAGTTTTGTTTGTTTGTTTTTTAACTGGCTCCCAGAGCTTCCTCAGTGGGATTAAGCTCAGTTGCCCGCAATAAAACCTGCCTGCTAATACTCCCTTTCATTATTGCCTTTCTTTCCCTGTCTCTATTTCCTATTTTTCTATCTTCGGTTCCTAAATAAACTATTTGCACTTTTTCCCTTTTCTCATGGTCTGCTTCTGGGAGAACTCAAACTAAGACAGAGGTACATAATGTTTTGTGATAATCATGATGATGGCATACATTGCTCATACAATCATCTGCATTATTCTCTTCCAAGATTGCCATTCAGACGCCCATCTCCTATGAAATTATCAATTTTAATATTTTTTTCTCTCCCTTAGCTCAGATATTTTCACTTCTTTCCTACAGTTCCCTGGATTCCAAGGGAAGTACAATAGCTTGACAATTGCTACCAGCTGCTAATCAAGTATGGACCCAATTTGGACCCTTCTCCCCCTGCAAATGAAATGCCCTTGTTTGTCTGACTTCCATTCCATAATTTACTATTTATACTCTTCAAACTTCCAAAATAGGACTCCAAGCAGGCTTTTCACCTGCACTGACAATAAATACCATCATTGTCACCACCATGCTGGAGTCTGACAGGCAGATCCCTATTTTTCTTAAGAACATGGCTGGAAATCTGATAACGGGTTTGGGCAAAGGTACATGTGCTACAAAAACTCTACCCCCAGATATACATACAAAGGGAAATTGAACTCTCCTGTTCATGGGTACTTTTTTTTTGTTTTACAGCTGAGCCATCCTGCCACCTGTTGGCAGCTCAGCAGCTGCTCAGCTCAGGCCGGGACTCAAACCGCTGTTGCTCAGAGCTCAAACTCTTGAACGAGCTCTTAACCAACTGAGCCACTCAGCCAGCTGCTCATGGGTACTTTGGAAGGAGCAATTTTCCTTGTAGAGTGGGTACTGGATTCATGCAGGGGGGGCTCTCATCCTGGCTCCTCAACTACTAACTGTGTCTCTGTGAGAAACGCATTTAATCTTGCTAATCTTTGGTTTCCTCATTTGCAAATTGGAGACAATAATATGCGCACACCTTGTGAGTATTTTCTAGGGATTAAATGCATATTATTAATAAGTACTTAACACAACGGCATGTTGTAAGCATCCAAACAATGTTAGCCCTCACTCTAAGTATTGATAATAATAACAACAACAGCATTTTGTAGAAGATCCATAACGGACCATATAGTACACACTGAATTTATAGATTCTGGAAGCTGGAGAGAGACTGTAGACATCCCGCAGAATAACAATGTCCTAATCAAGGTAAGGTAAGATGACAACAGTCTACGAACACACAGTTGGCTTTAGCAAGAAAACATAGTAGGGCCGGCCGAGTGGCGTGATGGTTGGGAACTGGCTTGGGATGCCAGAGGGCCCCGGTTTGGATCCCATATATGAGGGCCAGTGACACTGCCCTCTACAACTAAGATGCTGAACAACAGCTCAACCTGGAACTGGGCTGCCGTGAGTCGCCGGCGACGGCNCACACACACACACACACACTGTTTCTTAATAGCTTTCATGTGAAGTTTCAAAAATTATATGCAGTTGTAAATTTGATATGTGCTATAGATGGCTCTAATAGTTTTTGTGCTTTGAAATTTCTCCTCATTTATAATCTTATTTTCAACTCTGCTAGCTTCAAGGCACAGTTTACCTTTTCATCTGTAGTAAGCACGATTTCTTTAAAGAATAAGCTCAGAGTAAAAAGCAATTTCAGAGAAGATTGATTCTAGCCCTCCAGCATATATAAAACTCTCCTCTATAACATTATTCATAATTGTCCAGGGTTACTCTTTAACAACACTTGTTTTGTATGTTTCTTGCACATTGTTTCTTTTATGACAACAATCTCTAAATAGTATAACATTCATGAAATTAAAAAAAGACAATAAGATGTACCTGAGAGATGAACTTAAGTCTGTAAGGAGATGTTACTGCAGAAACATAATAACTGCTTACTTTTAGTTTGCCAAAATGGATAAAGGATGAATGGCAATTAGCTTAAACTGCAGCCTTTATTTTTCCTGAGATCATTCTTAGGAGGTAGGTGACACCCAAAGATAGTAAGTGGATCAGTAGCCTTCACTGAGGTTATTAAAATCAGTGCATACTTTGGATGCCTATGGTTTATTCTTCCTAGAAGTAAATTAAAGAATATCTATCAGAGAAGACATAAATTTAGTTTTCTTTGAGGTCTCATTATTCCTAAAAGTTCTCAAACATCACCCACATCCTGTCCTTTTCTGCAATCACCTTGCAAACAGAAAGGTTGATGGCAAAGGGCTGGTTTTCACTGTTACTGTGAGTGGTCAGGAGAGTGGAGTTTGGACTTAGAAAGGAGGGATGAAGGATACACCTTCTCATTTTTTTCTCTTTTCAAAAGTGTGGCCCTTGGGTTTTGTTGAGAAGTCACAAACATTCTCTCTCTCTCTCTCTCTCTCTCTCTCTCTCTCTCTCTCTCTGTCTCACACACACACACACACACACACACACACACACACACACACACACACACCTTTCCTTTGACCTTGAAGAGACCACAGGATTAGCTGGGGCTGAGTTAAGGACTCAGACAGCAATAGCACAAACTGGCTGACCCTTGCCCTAAGCCTCCAATTACCTAATGTTTGGGGAAGAAAACATTTTAAAGCTGCTCCCTTGAGGGCCTCCAGCCATTGGCCCCACCTGGAAGCAGAGGCTCAGCCTGGAAAAACAGTATTACTTGCAAAGGGTAACTGTTGGCCTAGGAAGGTTTTCAAGCTCCTCCAGCATCCAAATCCTCGGGACTGCCAACCCTGAAGCTGTGGAACCCAACCGATGAGCTCCGCATCCTTGACCTAATAAAACAAAACAAAACAAAATAAAACAACAACAAAAAAATATAATTTCTGGGTAAGGAAGGAGGAAGCAAAACCTTTGCCAAACCGTCCATTCCCAGAATGCCCTTGGGAAAGCCAGGGAGGAGAAGAGCTCCCTGCAGTCTCTTTTGGGGAATTTTTTTTTTCCCAGTGCGGAGGGCAGTCTGGGAATACAAAATGGAGGTTTAATTATCACCGCAGTGTGCCAAGGAGAGCACACCTGCACTTGGAGCAGAGGCAT